TTCTTTTTCCTCTTCAGCCTGGCCTCTTGATCAAAATTTGTACCTCCATTCATTCTTTAAATTCGTAGTTATTGCATCAACTGCTCTCTCATTTCTTTGACATTGCTTCGCTTATATTTCGTTTTGAGTAGGTTTTCGAGACTACCAATAAATCAGATATATGAGTTATCTTCATCCTATTTCGTTTAAGGGGATTCGAATCATGACAGTACAGCGCTTAATCTCGACATTTTAATCATTACGTCACATTACCACGAAAGCCCTCGGGTCACAGGCAGATAAGAATTTGAAGGAAGTCCAGGCATTTTCCCTTATCACATTTTGTGATAGGATTGTTGAGGAGGCAAATCTATATTTGTTATAGCAATCGACGACATCTATATTTCGTTTTGAGTAGGTTTTCGACACTACCAGTAGATCTGATGCAAGAGCTGCTTATCCATCCTTCTTCGTTTAAGATGATGAAGGACTGGCAGTTAATTGTTTCCACAGTCACATTAGTAGAACTGACGTTTCCACTGAAAATGTTTCGATTTCTTTGACATTCATATCTGCTCTGTGATCCAAGGTCGTTTGTGGCAACGTGGCATAGTGGTTAATGTGCCGAGAGTACACGCTGCACTGTCATGGTTCCACGCTCGCTGGAGGTGTTGATTAGACCTGGGCGAGGTCGAAACTCCAGTTCACCCTGGATGAGAGCACCTTTTGGGAAAGCAAGGCTATGTGAAATTCAATGGAAACATCAACTTTACTCATATCATTGTGGGAAAATTCAACTAGCAGTCCTTCATCACCTCAAACGAAATAGAGTGAACAGACTCATTGCTTCGCTTAGCCAAGTGGCAGTTTCTCCTCACTCGGTTTACTTATTTTATTCCTTATTCTCTTAAGAAATTTTGCGTGACTGTAAGCTTGATGCAGATTGAAGTTCCCATAATCCATCCATATGTAACTAAACTAAAAACAATGCAGCTTGCTCTTCATATATATTCCCACATTATCCTCTTTAAATTGTTGTGGAATTGAGAGATTACTGACAAATGAGGCCATCACTACTTCTATTATAATCAAGAAGGATACGAATGATAAATGAACGAATAAATAGTAATAAATAAAAAAGAATGAGACATGTAATTGTTGATTGAACTTGGATGAACTAAAAATTGTTGGGGGTACTAGTTTTGACCAACATGCCTGGGTGATAAGGCAATAGAACCAGTGATGAAGTTAATTTATTCTAATAAAAATATCCTCAAACTTCCCAATTTGTTTTATAAATTCCGAAGTCTAACGCTAATTTATTTACGATTACTAAACATTCTTCTATTATTTTATTTATTTAGTGGATCTGGTGGCATCAGCCTTCACGATCACCTCTTTGGTTAATCAGGTGAGATGTTGACTAAAAGATCGCTTTTTATTTGAATAGAGAAACCTTACTGCTTAATTTGATACGTTATTTTGGTTTTTTTTTCTTCAATTTGTATTCCTTATTGAAATCATTCGACATCTACTCCTGTCTCCTTTACCATATATCCTACTCTGCTACATTCTTTATTTCTCCCTCATTTCCATCAAACCATTTTTTAAGTGCCTTGTTTACATGTATTTTTTTTACACTAAAAGTCAACTCCAAGCACCTCCTTGATGCTGGAATCTACTGGCTTACACGAAGCTTTCTCTACTTATGCCTCCTCATTAAGTCTGGCACATATGCTTGCTTCACTTCTGCATTCCTGGGGTTTCGATCCGATATTAGATGCTGCTCTCACTAGTCGTATTGGGTTAAAGCCAATTATCAGATCCGATTCATGTGATGAACAAAGTGCTATGCACTCAGCTCCAAGCAACGACTTCTTGTCGACACTCCAACATCCAAAGTCTGCACTAAATTGTACCTCACTTCTTTCCCTGGGTCGACTCTCACGCCATGGTTGTATGGCACTTCGAATGCCTGGTAAGTACCTTAGTCCTTTTGTCAGCATTTAAATATTTTTCATCATCGTCACGCTGCCTTTGACCTTTCACTCAGACAGTAGTGCTTAGTCGAAGTTATGAGGACCAAGATCGTTCGGCCTTAAGTATGGCCGTGGTCTCCTTACATTCTTTAAAAATTGTTTGATCTTGTTTTCTTTGCATGGTTTTATTAGCAGGAAGACA